ATGGTAAAATATTGGAGGAGGAAATAATACCGATTATATTTATTTTTATAAAGACAGAACTCTAAAAAGAAGTAGGGAATTTGCCATTCTCACGCTGACATCTGGCTGATAGTTTATGTTGATGTGACTCACTTTTAGTTCTTTCTGATTGTCCCTAGCCTTTAACAGGTCTGTGATGGTTGTAAGAACCCAGCAACCTAGTATGTATGATTTGTAATTTCAAAATTACAAATTTGGCTTCCTCTGAGAGGCCATGTCTATGCATATAAGTAGTTTTCAGTGGGTTAATATAAAATCAATAGGATTCCTTCTTTTCATAGATGATCACTTAAATGGGATAACTTTTTTTTTCATAGAACAAATCATCTGTTTGTTGCCTTCATTTAACACTTAACCCTTAACACTTGGTAGTCTCGCAGAGCAGTAAGATATCTCTGAAAATGTAATCGAGTTACTGTATTTGAGAGGACTTCCCCCTATAATTCCAAATGTATTTGAAAAAGCAAGTCATTTTTGCAAACAGCTGCTTCTGTTAAGAAATTAATTGACAAAGTGTCATTTTCAGCTTCATAAGGTCCTCTTCTTATTCTGAGAGAACTTTCTGTCAGGAACATAAAAAGTACATTTCTCAGGATTTTTCTACCACCGAGTATATGGAAAACCTTATATCTGACGGAATCTCCTAGTTCCCAAGACTTAGGGGGGATTTGAATCTCTACAATGCTACCTTTTTTTCTCTCAGTCAAAGGCTTTGACTGCATTTGTGAAAAGCTTAAAGATAAGAAAGGGAACTAGATTGAATTTTGGAAGTTTTATAAATGCTTTTCAACTTTTCCTTTGTCATCAACTTTTTTGATGCAGACATATTTTGGAAATTTCATTGGCAATTTTCTCCCCCTGCTGCTTTCTGGATGTATTTTCAAAAAGAGTAGATAAGAGAAGGAAGCTGGGAGATTCACAGGCGTAGTAGCACTTATTTCAGCAGAGAATCACTTTCCTATTTAATCACTTTGCTATTTTCTTAACTCAGTTACATAGTCTAGATGACAATGGTTTGTTTTTAAGGCCAAATGAAGTGGAAAAAGTGAAACTGAGGCTAGCATAGATGTTTTCGCTCTAATATTTTCAATACTTTAAAAAATTATGTGTGTATATGCAGGGGAAGAAGAAAAAGAGCTGCATGGCTTGACAGTTCTTTGCTGCTGTTTTTAGTATGTAGTCAGCTCTGCCAGTGGATGGTGACTGTCATAGATACAAAATTTGTAATCCTTTATGACATGGTCCAATATTTTGAACTGAGCACATGGCAGTTCTGAACTTCTTGGCCTTCTAGAGGACATGGGACACTATTGATTTGGCTTGGGAAACCTGAGGTGTGATTTATTTTCAGACTAAGGATCATTGTGGGCTGTTATAGACCCAGTGTGAGAGGGTATCTTGTGGCCCATCCAAAGTGCTTAGCTGGCCTAAGGACAACATTAGAATCTTTCTTTAAAAAATAATTCTCACCCAAGGATATTTTTCCATTGATTTTTAGAGAGAGTGGAAGGGAGGGGGAGAGACAGAGAGAGAAACATCTCTTGAAAGAGACACATCAATTGGTTGCCTCCCGCACATGTGCCCCCAACCAGGGCTGGGGATCAGCTTGCATCGAAGTGCACAACCGAGGTATATGCCCTTGACTGGAGTCAAACTTGGGACTCTTCAGTCTGCAGGCCAACACTCTATCCACTGAGCCAAACTGGCTCGGGCAACATTGGAACCTTTTTGTTCATAGGCATTTATTTCCCAAAGGACAAAAACAGTAGGTGATTATATATTGTGCTGGGCAGTTCTTTCCCTGCCTTTACCCCACCCCATTCATTCACGCTTACCAAAAAGCCTAATTCCCTACAAGGACTAAAGCAAATGTTAGCCAATGTCAAAAAACTTTGCCCTCCCTCCCTCCAAACTCCAATTAAAATTTTTTGGTGTATAATTAAGTCTGGCCTTTTGAAGACTGAATACTATACAGAGGAGATTTATTATCCTGAGTTCTAAAGTTGTTTTGAAAAAAAAAACTGAAGGACCTTGGTTTTCTTTTTGAAATATTGTGTTTCACAGATAACATTCATAAGATTATTTGGTCTTCTCATTTACTGTTTGGGTAGAAAATGCAGATATTTTTGTTCTTTATAAGCTTTCTTTAACATAAGCAACAGTTTCTGATAAGGTACTATTGCTCTGCATCTGCATTTTATAAAGTTAAATTATGGATTCTGTCATTAAAAAGAGAATAGTTTATAAATCAAGTAAGATTTCATAAGTAAGTTTTTAAAAAAATATCATGCTGCCTTATATTCCATAGTTCAGTTTTAAAACCCAACTTGATGTAATGTTTAAAGAGTAATTCTTTTTCTATTTCTATATACAGTTTTGCTTTGTGAAAAAAATGTCATTAGTTTCCCAGGAAAAAAGCTTAAGAAAAGCTATTATATGTAAAGGAACATTATATAAAAACACAAATGCAGGTAGTAATTCTTTATCTGAAGATTGGTAGGACATGTGCCAAATACCCCCTGTTTTCTCCCTCCTTTCCTTCCTATCCTGTCTCTGATTGTATTCAATGTAAATCATGTTAAAACTCTAAATTGTAACAAAAGTCAAACTCCTAATTATTTCTTTCCCCTTAAAAAAAAAAGATCGCTTGTTTGGAATTTCTGAAAATATGAGACAGTCCTCATTATACAGCTTTTTTTTTGGGGGGGGTACAAATTGTGTTCTGTGTAAATGTCTATGGTTGTGTTTGCCACTTGTCTGGGAAAGCTACCAGGGTGGGTTTACAATTCTAAGGCAATCCTGCTCGGCAAGTGCCTAATTTCTTTTTTCATGGCTTGTTATGTAACTGTCCGAAAGTGTGAGGATTTGAGTAAGGGTCCTAAATGTGAGTATGCAGGTAAAGAGAAAATAGTCTAATGGGAAGAAAGGCCAGGAGTAAGTTATTTAGATCTGGTTAGGGGGCAGGATTTCCGAATACCGCTGCAATTAGTAATAAAAAGAACTGAAATTCAGAGGAGGAGTCAGAGAGATAGAGATTTAAGATCTGAGCAATTACTGTGATATATGAAATTTCACAAGAATTTCATTCCCCAAGGGAAGAGAGAGTAGAGAGGAGAGCAAATGATTTAGGACCAAACTTTGGGGAAATATTTAATGTTAGGGTGTAAGAAGCAAAAGAGAAATGCTGAAGTATAAACTAACATGGTTGGCTGTGGAAGACACCAGTACCACTGCTCCCCAAGGCTAATTCTGAGCCAGATAATCTCAGTTATGCTGGGTTGAGACTGGAGAATCTAGGGACTAAAATCCTTTTGACTATCTCTGGTTTGGTGCAGGTTGTGGAAAGTGTAAAACAGAGGCTCATGGTATCTGTTGCAAGGCATATTAATGAGGGAGAAACTTCATTATTGTGATATTTAGTGCATATAAAAATTTATTACAGCCATAATATGTGCTGAAATTATATAGCTATTCTAGGGTACTTATGAATTTGGGAAGATTGGGTTAATACCATTCTCAACTCTTAACTACTAATAAATTTTCCTTTTCCAGGATTTGCAGAGAAATGTAAAGGTACATTGAAACTAAGATATTATTTGATTTTATAAATCACTTAATTTGATTGAAAATAAATTGATCAATGGGAGAAACAAAAGGGCAACCCTGACAGAAAACAATAGTTGAACCTCTAATTTCTCAAGCCACATTCTAAGTTGTACTCAGCTTCTTGCCAGAGAAGGTAAAATAATAGAGCCACCTCATCCCAGTGACATGATATTTAAAAGAGCAGCTGCAGTACATTTGGTTTTGCATCATATGTAGCTCTATAAAGTTTTGAAGGAGACAACTTGATTCTCAGGAAAATTATAGGAAGGCTTTAGAAACAAGATAACTAAATATGGAGAAGTGATTGTGAGAACCATTTAGAAATCATAAATAAGGAAAATTCATGGCATGTGTTCAAAACACTTGATGAACTAACTCAGTGATCGCGAACCTTTTGAGCTCGGCATGTCAGCATTTTGAAAAACCCTAACTTAACTCTGGCGCCGTGTCACATATAGAAATTTTTTGATATTTGCAACTATAGTCAAACAAAGACTTATATTTTTGATATTTATTTTATATATTTAAATGCCATTTAACAAAGAAAAATCAACCAAAAAATGAGTTCGCATGTCACCTCTGACACGCTTGTCATAGGTTCGCCATCACTGAACTAACTTATTTTCTCCTGGATCAAAACAAAAAAGTTGCCTTTTTTAATTCACCCATCTCTAGCATTTGTGGGGGTGAAAACTGCTTGCAGTTTTGCTTGCCTTAAACAAATTCTGGTGAACCCAGTAATCTAAATGAGAGAATCATTAGCTGCTTTAAATAATGCTCATGAGCTAACCACAACAGGTCATATTTGACAATGTAGTATCTGTCCAGTTTTGCTACCACATAGGAAATACCATATATAGTAGCCGGGTCAACATTTAGGCAACACTAAAGATGCTTGGTTCCACAGGACTGACATATTATTCTGTTTGGAAGTGCTTAAGCCATCAATAAAACATTCATATAGCTGTGGCTCCAAAATAAAATTTGGTCTCAATTATCCAAGTGATCTAGAGCCATTGTCTCTGGAACCTAAAGAACAACATGGCTACCAGGCATAGGGATTTATTCTATGATTAAAAGAATGTCAGTGGATTTCAAGATTTTTTCTCACATTGTACGGGTTCAGGGAAAAGAACTTTAGACTCTAAAATGTCCAGAAAAATGGATCTCAAATTTAGAAAATATATTTATGCGTATGTCATATATTTATATATATTCTTTCTCCACCCCTCAATTGAGGGACAATTTAACATTTTTCCCTTGGTTTTCTCATTGTTTGATACACTTTTGTTTTTCTAATCCATATCAGATTTTTAGAAAAATTCATGAAAATTACTCTAATTCTTCATTTTTAGGGTCGATGTGCTAGAGAGAATTGCAAGTACCTTCACCCTCCTCCACACTTAAAAACGCAGCTGGAAATTAATGGACGGAACAATCTGATTCAACAAAAGACTGCCGCAGCCATGTTTGCCCAGCAGATGCAGTTTATGCTCCAAAATGCTCAAATGTCATCACTTGTAAGTCACAGCATCGTCTTTAAAAATTGCATATGTGTACTTTTTTTTTAAAGGATATATATCTACATTGGAATAACCTTGCATGGCCTTTGAGAAGTTAGTTACAGAAGGATTTAGGACACAAGCTAATATATTAATTGACACCACAAAGCTGCCCTGCATGTGAAGGGAGCAATCAGGTGTGTTCAATTTAAAATCTGGGCTGTATTTAAACATGAATTCAGTTTATAGAAAAATATCAATAAAGGAACGGGCATTTTAAGATGAGGAGGAGGTTTGATTATTATTACATGATGTAAAACTGTGAATTCTATGATATTAAATTTAAACAGTTTTTGATGGTTTTATTGTTACTTTTTAGTAGACTTTTTATTTTAAAATAATTTTAAATTTAAAGAAAAGTCGCAAAGATAGTGCAAAAGGTTCCCAAATGATCTCTTACCCAGTTCCTCCCACTGTTAATATTTTCCCATGGTATTTTTGTCAAAACTAAGAAACTGACATTTACACATTACTGTTAACTAAACTCCAGACTTCATTCAGACATCATTCTTTCTGTTCCAGTGTCCAATCCAGGGTACCACAGTGCATTTATTGAATCTGTCCCCCTCTCTCCTCTGGTCTGTGACCATTTCTCAGTCTTTCCCTGTTTCCCATGACCTTGTCAGTCTTGAGGAATACTGGTCAGGTATTTGATGGTGGATTTAATTTGACCTAGCCACAGAGTTTTCCTTTGCAGAAATTAATAAGATTACGGTGTCATTCTAGACCAGTATGTACTATTTTTGTGGATCAGTGAGCTTAGATCCTTTAAAAGTAAAATTTTCCTATTGATAATTCATCTTGTTTTGCTACCTTAAAATATAAAGTTGCAGTTTGGTCTTTCAGGGGGAATTGAAAACTCCCTTTTCTACTGAATTTACCAGGTCTCAAATTTAGTTCAGTGATGTCTCATTCTAATTCTAGCCGCTCTACTTGTTTTAAACCATGAACAAGATACTAACTTGAAAGGTTTATGTTATCCTGTTAACTATTTCATCAGTGCTGATGAATGCTGAAAGATGTATATAGTATTTAGATACAATGAAAATGTGGGTGCAGAGAGCGGATTGACTATTCCATTATAAAGTTGATTCTCAGAATTAAAGGAGATATGTGTAGATAGGAGACCCCTTAAGTACTCCATATTTATAGACAGTGCACGAAACAGGTGGCAGGGGCATTGATGAGTCACTAAAATTTTGCACTATGATTCTCAATTCCCAGAACATCTAGACAAATTTAAGTAAAAATACATAGATTTCATGTTATATCAGTTTGCTATATATATATATATTTGTCTTGAAATTCATTGCTGATTAATTATGTTATAAATTAGTTCCCAGAAAGTCACCAGTGAGTTCCTCAGAGCTCCCCTCTGGCCTTCAGGATTACTTTACATGGTTGAACTCCTTCAGACTAGGCTTTCACGCACTGAAATATTTACATTTTTTCCTACTTCTAAAGTGGTAGGGAAGAGAAAATCTACTAGATACTGAGACAGGATAAACAAAGCCACAGAAGACTGAATGTGCTTGGTGAGTCCAGAAAATGTGAGTAGATGGGGAATAAGCCAAGGGAGTTTTTTCACCCACCCTTACTACTCTCAGCCTCTCTTGGGATGTCCCAATTTCAGACTGAACAAAGAATAGGAGCCAGATTTTATCACACACGTGGGCCCAGCCTTTTCTATAGAGTTGGAGTGTATATATTTTCACAAGTCAAGAGACAGCATCAGGGCAGCAATCAAACGCCTGTTTCAGGGAATCAGAGCAAGGCCTAGGCTAAAGTAGGGGTAGAGACAGAAGGCAGACTATTCATTTTCTATTCAGATTCTAGTAGAGTTTCTCCATTCCCAGTCTCAACCCTTTATGCATTATCGATCATGATGGCTCACACTGGGGAATAGGGGATGGCTTTTTTTAGAAACTAAGAGATACATTGAGTTTTCTGGCCTCTTGTGCCTTCTAATTTGATTCTTCTTGCTTTCAATAATAGAATACATTTGCCTTATTTCTTCAGTGAGGGTAATTTTAGATTTCAGGCTGTAGAACATGACTAATATGACTCACAGGAATACAATTTATTTTATAGCATATCACAAGATGTAGGTCATTCCTTATAAGACCCCAGGGAACAATTGGAAATTGTTTTTCTAAGTTGTGGATTATGTATTTAAAAATAGCTGTTGTGATGTCATAAACTGGTAAAAGGTTAATTTTTGCAGTTATTACTTATTAAAAAATTAACTCCACAATGGTTAATATGATCCTCTTTTGAGGTCTAGAAAGCTGCTTTGTAGGCATGTTGTAATTGAGCTAGTGACAATTTTAAATGACATTTACCATTGTGATTCAAAAGAAATGTTCTTTATTATGGATTTTTGATATAACTATAACAGTAACAAGATTTTAATTAATTTCTCTGGTACCTACTCTCCCTAAACAATCCTTGATCCCTTTTAACACCTACCATAATGTGATCATTTTTTCTAAAACAGTCACGTTTTGTTTAAATTTTCAATCCTGATGTTTGTATGGTTGTATATTAAGACCTACATGATATCATTGGCTTGAACTTCAGGTTTTCCCACAAAATATACTTTGATCTGTTTCTGAGATACCAGAAGAGCACACCTACTTTTGGAAAACTGAGTATGGTTTGCTTATTATAAGCCCTCAGATAAAGGGAATGTCAGCCTAAATGGGATGGTAGCTAGAGAACAGATTCTGTTCAGTGTGACCGAACAATGAATAAAAGCCACACCTAGTCAATTGGGATGGAATGCTTGCTGTAGCGGGCAACTTTATTCACTGTATTTAACGGGCCTGAATTTACATTTGCTAGTATAAATTTCCACCTCTGAAAGCGTTTGTTAGCCCTATGGAGGAAGTTGAGCAAGTGAGAGAAACCGTGTGACCCCTTAATATTTTTCAGTGTTGTTTAAGAGAATTTCTGATGTTCACAGCAAAAAATTATAAGTTTAAGAACTCACGTTGGCATCATTAGGGAGGCAAACTTGAGCACCGCACAAGAATTTTAGGAAAAGTAGACACACCGGATTACTCTCAAACAAAGCTAATGGTTTAAAATTTTAATTTCACAACTAAGAATTTTCATTACAGGGAGAAAGAAGTCTCTCTGCTGGATGCAATATATATAAGTATAAAGTGCACACGGTGTTATAAGGCTGTTAAAATATTTCTGGTTTAGACATTTCACATAATCTAGACCTGTCCATATCTAGTAAATTTCTTTAGTTTCTCTCTGAATGTGTTGATTCACATGGAGGCAGTTCCTTACACATAGGTAAACTTGACTCAGTCGAGTGTATTCACCTGATGATTTATACAGAGATTATTGCCTTGGCACATTTGGCTTACCATCCAGGTGTGCCAAATCTGCTCTGTTTATGCTTTTCATGGCTTGCATTCCTGTGGCCAGGTTACGGTGTCCCAAACCACAGAGGTTATAAGCATGGGTTTCATTCCAAGTTTTTCCTTCATTGCAGATAGAATCATCTGATGTCTGCTGGGATCCTCCCCACCTTTTAAAATGTTTTTTATAATTCTATTTATTAAGTACATGTATCATAAACAAGCTTATATGTTTATATGATGTTAATATAGTAAGAAAGGAAGGTTATGTGACACTTCAGAACCCAAAGGGGAAAGATAGGAAGTTCTAATAGATAGGAAGACGGGAGATATACTAATTAATAAGTAATATCATTATTTTTTTTTAAATTTTATTATTTATTACAAAGGATATTACATATGTGTCCATTTTTTTCCCCCGCCCAAGACAGTCCCCTAGCCTCCCCCATCCCCCAGTGTCTTATGTCCATTGGTTATGCTTATATTGTTAGACCCTAATATTTTTAATGTTTTCCTTCTTTTTAAAATGGGACCTATAAGGTATGTATCAGTATATGAAACTTTGGCTAAAACAGTTTTAATTAAGTTGAAAGAAAATTGCAAAATATTTATTTACTTTATAATTTTTGAAAGAGTTTAATGGTTAAATAATTTAGTAGTTTCTGACAAAAGGATAATATTTTTCACTCATCAAGGCACATTATACACTTTGCATTTTAGCATCAGAGTACATTTTTTCTAGTTCACATAAACTAATTTTATTGACTGAATTCTTTATATTCTCTCCCTATAGTAATGGCCCTTTTATTAAAAATTATCATGACCATTAGGAAGAAAGGTGACATCTGTAATGCTTTCAACAATAAAGATAAATTTACAATAAATAAAAAAATTATCATGAAAAAGGTAGCCAAGGTATTTTGTAAATTTTAAGGAAAAGGAAACTATGTCCATATTCCAGATTACTAGTCTTGTGTATTTTAATGGCAGTTCTTCAGTGGATTTCTCAGTTTACCCACTTGCAAAATGACAAGTACCTGTTTCATATGGATGTGGTGACATTGAATGCTTTGTAAAGTGATTTTTGCAAAATGTCCAAGTCAGTAGACTGTAAGGCTAATGTGTTCTTAATATAATTATGACTGCCATTATCATGTGAAGTTCCATAATGACAAGTTGACCAAATCACATCCCAGGAGTGGGTGGAGTAAAACCATACTATGAGCTCAAATTTCGTCTGGATTTCACTATGTTTTCTAAACTATTAGAGAAGATTTTATTTACAGATAGCAACTGAAGTCTAACATTATTTATTTGTTCAATAAAACATTTCCAGGGTTATACTTAACTTGAGGTTAGTGAAGGCTCAGGAGCCCTCACTTTCAAGGCCCTTGGAGAAACCCAAACAATATGTTTACAGTGGGTTTGTAAAATTTGCAAAATATATTTCTGTACAAACCTCCCCTCCCCAACTCTACTGAAAAACTTCAGGCCCTACACATCCTGGATTCACTCCTGATTGCAACTACTGGTCCAAAGTAGAGTAGTTATTCAGGTTCTTTCCCAAAGCTATATACACTGCTT